TCGAGTTCATCACAACTCCAGGAGCGATTCGAAGAAATTCAATGGTGCAAACAAAATCACAAACCGCAGCTAAAAAGGCTGTAGAGAAGGAATCCCCAGAGAAGGCAGTGCGGGGGGCTGGTCCTACATCGCGGGAACGTGAGGTCGAAGATTTGACGAACATGGACGCGCTGAAGGAAGAACAACGGAAGCTGGCCGCAGAGAACTCGAAGTTGTGGGAAGGGTTTGCCAAGATGAACACAACGCTTGAGGAGATCTATATAACGCAATAACGAATGCTCGCTGCGTTAGGGCTTCTGGAGGCGCCGACGAAGGCGTAATCGATTATTGACGGAGAACGCAACGCCGTGGGTGGCGGGGACACGGCCGAAGCTGTGGGGAGTGCGGGCCAAGGTTCTAGCAGGTCCAATGCAGCTACAGGCCTGTTGCCGACTTCGATGTCGAAGAGGTAGCGGAAATCCGGGCCAAGGCCAAGATGTCGGACTACGATTCAGCATGCTTGGAAGATGACATGAGTCGTCTGGGCCCGCAACCCAATCGCGAGAGGGATCCAACCGAGTGAAGCGAAACCGGTCAAACTGGTATGGGTTTGATCGAGGTCTGGCCAGGCCAAATAGACCCGAACCGGTCAAGGGTGACCCGGACAACAACTAGTAGTGGGGCATATGGGGGTCAAAATGAACCCTGGAATAGAGGCAGGGGTGTTTTCGGGGGTCCTTACTTGCCGTGGACTACGCCCGAACTCGAGGACAGGCCACGGGGGAGTAGCTGGGAAGTGGGATAAGGTTTTGGAGGAGGCATGGGGGATCATTTTGATGAAGATGGTCGTTGGGCGTTACCACAGCCACACCGTGACAGGTACCAGAGTCGCCAAGGCGGCTATGAGGGAGGCAAGTATGGTAGGCCTTATTCTGCTTATGATGGTGATGATGACTTGATTTTTAGAGCGAGACCGCCGACCATTGAATTTCCTAAGTTCAATGGTCAGGAGGATGCAGGATTGTGTTTGTATCATGTATGCTGCTGACAGGTGGTTCAAGAAAAAAAGAACCATTCCACTAAGGAGGAAAGAAAAGCGCACCTGGCGTCTTACTACTTGGAGGGCGATGCCCTGCAATGGTGGGAATGGTTAGAGCAGTCTTATGATGCGACATACACATTGATCACATGGACGAGGTTCTAGGAGGAGCTCCGACATCAGTTCGGGAAATCGGAAGGGTGGGCTCCGAAGTAGCTGGCTAAGCTAAGGCAGACCCAATTGGTGGCTGATTACATATCCGAGTTCTTCAAATTTGGGAACAGGTGCAAGGGCGTTACAGAGGAGATGTTAGTGGGGTTGTGCATGGCGGGAGTGCGTCCGGAGAGCAAAAATGATGTCAAGGTATTTGAACCGGATACCTTGCGTTCTGCATTTTGTCTTGCAAGACGAAAGGAGGAGGAGATCGCTAAACACCATTGGGCATTACCAGAGGCCAAGTGGAGGAGAGAGTGGAGGCGTCCCCGGCATTGGGGTTGACGGAGTGACAGGAGGAGCAAGAGGGACAACTACTTTCATGGGTGCCACACCAGGGGCGGTCTCACCCGACCAACAAGCTTTTCCAAAAGGGTTCGTCAAGCTATCACTGGCGAAGATCGAGCAGAAGAGGTGGAAATTGAAATATTTCAACTGCAATAGAGGTTCATGTTTGGCCATCAATTCGCAAATCCGGATCTGATGATGCTGATTGGGCACTGGGAGGATGAGGCGGAGGAGTGGACCGCAGAGAAGAACGAGACGAGACCCAATCTTGACGGCAAGATTGGTCTTAAGAGGGGAGGAATGTTAGAAACATTGGGGGGGTTTGGGGATTTATTTAGGGATTTGGTTAATTAGGGATTTTAGCCCTATTTATTCTTTTTGGGGATTTTAGACATTATTGGCCTATTATGGTTAAGAGTTATTCTTTGGGTAGCAAAGGGTAATTATTTTGGGTTTATACTATGTAAACCGAGGATTATTTTCATGAAGCAGATTATTATCAAGAAAAAACTAAACATGTCTCTAATTCCCACTCCCCCCACGTCTTATTCTTTTCCCCTCTTCCCAAGATAGTTGTCGGCTCCTTCTTCTTCCTAATCCCCTTTTCCTTCTTCTGATCTTCTCCTTCAAACCCCAACCGTTGGCCCTAAAATGACGCGCTATCCATCAAAACGGAGCACTACACAACGATGCCATTTCACGAACCTCGCAATGATGTCGTTTCGCTACATCGTCCATCGAAGTCAAGAGAGAACTTCAAGAGAGGACTCCTCGATTGATGATCTCCCTGTTTCCTTCTCTCGATCGTCCTCTCTCAGCAGAAGCTTCAGCTTTCTCGAGCCTGCTCCACCTAGCACCGTCTCTATGATGATGAATGATGAAGACTATAGAAGGCTCCTGATTAGGCAATGGTCATCTGCTATTCACACTATAAATTGGAAGCCTTCTGCTCAGTAGCAATTTGGCAGTCTATAGTGAGAGCTTTTGGGTCTTAAAACTCTTCTACTTTGGGTCCATGAATGTATTTGCTTCAGTAGATTGAATCACAGTGTATGGGAGTTTACTGGGTGATTCGAATCTTGGGAAGTAGGAGTGTTGAGTGTTGTTTTCTCAAAGGGCCAAGTCACTTGTCTTGGCTAGGGTTCACTGTGTAATCTAAACTCTATTTGCAAATCAATAAAATTATTTCTCTTTTCTTTACAAGAAATCATCCAAGAAAAGATACAATCAAAATCTCATGTTGAGTGCATCTCATATTTTGAGTTTTCAATTGGTATCAAAGCCTACTCTTTGTGGGATTAATCGTCGCCAAAGAGAAGGTCTTGGGATGTCAGGAACTTCCTCAACTGCAGTCGCTTACTCCGCAAATACAAACCCTCCGAGGTTTGATGGAAAGGATTACACCGTTTGGAAGAAAAGGATTTCTATTGTCTCTAATCGAGACCTGAGCTTCACATCTCGGTTTTGGCAAAGTTTACATGATGCCTTAGGAATTAAACTGCATTTCACTTCAGCTTATCATCCTCAAACAGATGGGCAGAGTGAACGAACCATCCTTACCTTGGAGGAGTTACTGCGATCATGTGTAATGCAATGGGAAGAATCATGGATTGACCATTTGCCCCTAATTGAGTTTGCTTACAACAACCAATACCATAGTAGCTTGGGTGTTCCACCATATGAAGCACTTTATGGAGGAAATGTAGAACACCATTATGTTGGGATGTAGAAGGAGCAAGGCAAATCTCAGGGCCAGAGATAGTTCAGATCACAGTTGACAAGGTCAAGGAAATCGGGGAGCGTATGAGGGTGGCTTAAGATCGGCGGAAAGTTTATGTCTACATGAATAGGCGTGAAGTTAATTTCGAAGTGGGTGAGAAAGTATTTCTCAAAGTGTCACCATGGAAAGGGGTGATGAGATTTGGTAAGAAAGGGAAACTTGCACCTCGGTATATTGGACCCTATGAAATCACAGAGAAGATTGGACCAGTGGCATATAAACTGGCATTGCCTCCAGAACTATCTCAAATCCACAATGTATTTCATGCTAGTATGCTGAAGAGGTACAAAGTGGATCCTTCCCATGTTATACAACTCGAAGATATCGAGTTGGGTCCAGATTTGACATTTGAAGAGGTTCCAGTTGAGATTGTTGATTACCAGATTAAGAATCTTCGTAGGAAGGAAATCCCAAAGTTGAAAGTGGTTTGGAGAAATCAAGATAGTGAGAGTGCTACCTGGGAGACTGAAGCAAGTATGCGAGAGAAGTACCCTGAGTTAGTCGCAACCTACTTTGCAGGTTAACAATCTTGCCTAATAAGTTATGTTTTGAACTTGTTGATGTGCTTTTGTTGTGATAACCCGATATAGGTTTTTGAAACCTTATATTGGGAACTTGAGGTGTTATGTGTTACTCTCTATGTTATGAATCTCCTAACCTAAAAGTTAGGTAGTAAGAAGATTTGTGATAGTGTAGGTTAGGGGGGAACGAGCGGATATGTACTATCGACTCAAGGATAGATTTCGGGGACAAAATCTTTTAAGGAGGGGAGAATTGTAACATCCCGTTCCGGCAAAACGCATATTTCAATCGCTAGAAAGTTCGCGATTTAAAATCGAGTGTTTTGATAGTATTTCGACGAAAATCGGATTATCAATCGATCGGATAAGTATACGTATTAATTATATATATATATATATATATATATATATATATGGCGAGTTCTACGGTACCCTGGGTGAAATCCGGGGTACCGCATACCTTGAGTATGAAAACACTATTTAAACCTTGAATTGACCGATCTTTCGAACATGATACTATACTCTAACACTTAAAGATCAAAATCTAGGTGTTAACTCTCCCAATATTATACTCCAAGATCAATTTAATTAGAAATAATAATCGACGGTTATGATTCATCCAAATATAGGCACAAAAAGGAATGCACCATCTTAGGGTTTATAGATTATGATTTAGATAATTATGACCTAGGGTTCACTCATTAAGGGTTAGGGTATAATATCAGACACAAAAATCCTGGTAATTCGAGGTCTAGATAGAGTTTCCATACTCGAGGTATGCGGTACCCCGGATTTCACCCGGGGTACCATAGAAGCCACCATATATATATATATATATGGCAAAGGCTAGCGTACGTCAGTCGTACGCTGTACGCCTGTGTTCACACTTGATTTTGGCACTTTAATATATTTCGCTGAATCAGAACCATCGATTATTATTTTTTAGATTAAATGAATCTCGTGGCTTGGGTTAGAGAATTAGGGACTGGGGTTTATCCATTAGAGGTTAGGGTATAGTATCATGCCCCAAATTTCGGTTAATTCTTGCTCTAAATAGTAAAACTCGACGGGCGTACAATGTACGACTGACGTACGCTAGCCTGAACCATATATATATATATATAAATAATAAGTGGCCGCATATATATAATCCTTTAATTCCCTCCCCTGTCCATTTTTCCCATCGTCATCATCTTTTTCCCTTTCCGGGCCGAGAGCACAGACCGAGCAGAGGCGCACAGGGCATCGCGAGGGGAAATTCTCAAAGCTCAAATCTTAAGCTTTAGCGATCCAAAAATTCCGTAAGTAACGCCTAATTCATCTATACATCGTGATTTATCGATTTAGATTTTTAAAACCAGTGTTCTGTTCAGGAATTTATTGAATTCCCGATAAACCAAATTAGGGTTTCAGCGTATCCGGAAGTCGGATTGAGCTCAAATTTCATATACGAGCTTCTTGCAGCGAGGTAATCAATCCTCTAATTCTAATCCTTGAATTTCGGCAATTAATTAGGTCGGTGTCCAAATCGCTGAATTTAGCTCCGGCCAGGGTTTGATGTGTTTCTATCAAGAATTTGATCCGGAGCCTACTTAGGGTTTCAGAGTATCCGGAAGCCGGATTGAGCTCAAATTTCATATACGAGCTTCTTGCAGCGAGGTAATCAATCCTCTAGTTCTAATCCTTGAATTTCGGCAATTAATTAGGTCGGTATCCAAATCGCTGAATTTAGCTCTGGCTAGGGTTTGATGTGTTTCTATCAAGAATTTGATCCGGAGCCTAGAACTAATATTGACGGGGATACTGCAGGGGATATTAGGACGGTCTCGGATTTTAATTCGGGGTTCATTCGTGAAATTGACGTTTTAGTACGGGAGGCTAGAACCGGTGTTTGAACGACCAGAACTAGTGAGGGAATAGCACGGCATACCGGGTTTGTCGTATCATGATAATTATATTGATGCTTAGAATTGACCTAGGTGAATTAGAATGACATGATTAGGGGTGTATGGACTTTTATGCTATATGATGAACCATGGATTGTTGTATGATATTATTGACTTGCCCTATCCGATATGGACCTTGTTTATGTTGATGATTGCATACATGTTGCCATTTGGGGCTTAATCGTTGATATGATTTCATGGTTGTTCGATCAGGTGTTTTGACATGATGTGATATTATGGTTGTATTTGGATTCACAAGTGGGGGAAATAAACTTCCCAGGGTGATATTATGATGTTTAAGGAGGATGACTTGTACGAGGGTTTATCCCGAGGAAGTGCAATTATACGACTCCTGATTTACCTATGTTGAGCCAATTATGGCCAGGTCAAGTTCATGTGCAAGTAACGAATTATGATTAAGCAAGATGAGATATGGATCATGTGTAAGATTACCAAATAAGAGTGATTTGGTCTCATGGTCAATTACATAGTAATTAGGGCTCCCCATGCTATTACTCCGTTATGATATGTTATGTCACACCCCTGATGTGGTGTTGACCGTTGATTCATCATGAGATATGACCACACCCAGAGTGGTGTTGAGTCCGATATGACCACACCCAGAGTGGTGTCAGGTCCGATATGACTACACCGGCAGTGGTGGGTTCGATATGACCACATCCACGAGATGTTTGGTCCATATTCCTGGGAGAGTAATTAGCATGGGAGTAGCCAGGCGCCTATGATTAAAACATGATAAGATGCATATGCATAAGTTAAGGTGGTTGAGTCTTTTGCCTATTGGGATATGAGGATGGCTGAGGTCCAATCCTAGTGTTTTGGCTTGATTGTTAGATGTGTGATAGGGGTATACTCTGTTATGAACTCACGATGCTATGATTATCTCACTCAGCTATGAGCTGACCCTCTTTTATTCTTCTTCTCTGCTTATGCTATGTGTAAGCAGATCATCATCAGCAGCAGTAGATAGGTGTATAGGTGGAAGCTGAGCAAGAGTTGAAGGCAAGATGAGGTATGGTCTTCAACTATTCTGTGCTTGGACTACTACTCGGGATTTTGGCCAGTGATCCACACCTTTTTGTAAAAATGTTTTGAGAACGTTTTTCATGTGCATACTAGCTTCTGATGTAGTATGAGATATCCACAGGTGTGGAAAGTTGATATGTATATATTTGTATGGTTGTGTAAGTTGTGACGACTATGACATGTATTAGTAAGGTATGTAGTTGCGGAGTATGAAACTGTGATTATGGCGATGAAAAGCCAATGCATATGGTTGTGAGTATATATGTTTGTGATGAATTATTTTGCAGGATAAGTTGCAAGAACTGTTAGCCCATTACGCGAGTAATTCATGTCGAAATTTTATTTGGGTAAATTTTGATAATTAATGTAACACCCGAGATTAATTTCGCTGCAATTGTATGAACAATATGATTAGGCAAAACGTATAGGGTAGGGTGTTACAGGCAGTATCACTCTCTACTGTTGAAGCAGAATATATGGCTGTTGGGAGTTGCTGTGCTCAAATAATGTGGATGAAAGCACAATTATCAGACTATGGCTTCAAATTAAAAGAAATCCAAGTGTGTTGTGACAATACTAGTGCAATAAGTATTAAAAAAAATCCAGTTCGACACTCAAGCACAAAGCACATTGAAATAAAGTATCATTTCATGAGAGAACTTGTGCAAGCTGTTCATATTGAATAACAATTTGTGGCAATTGAATATCAGTTGGCTGATCTGCTAACAAAACCCTTGGCTAGTGAGCGCTTTCTTCAGCTCTGCACATAATTAGGCTTAAAATCCTTAAGTCAGATTACAAATCTTCAAAGCTAAGTACCTCATTGGGTTTCTATCTTGCATGCATTGGTTCAGCAAATCATGATTGTGAATATATCAACCGAAAATAAAAATAATCAAGATGATTGGTTCTTTACTTCTTAGTACTTTTTGCGTGTCTTGGTTTAACAAAATAGACGCTCTTTTTCGGCTCATGCCTGCCTCGACTAATACGTGCATGCCTTTTCTTAATCATTGTCCTTTTTATCTTTGCCTGCGGGAAACTCTTCCTCTTCTCCTCTCTTTCACTTTTCTTCTCTATTTAAGCTCCATTATCCATCTCCCCTCTTTACATTGCTCTACTCAAAACCAAATCTTTCTTACCAAACACCGAGAGAAAACGCGAAATATCAGCCTCTGAAAACATGAGTGATCATCTCCCACGCCCTCGCTTTGATGGTCTAGTCCACACATACTCTAGATATATGTTCCATGAGCCATTAGTGGTCAACCATCATCGCTATCTGCATCATTTTGACAAAAGAAGGCTGCATCATATCACCCAACTCGATCCTTACGAGTTCCACCTCTACAAGTATGATATCATCTCTCTTATTGAGGGTCTCGACTGGGATTTCCTTCTTCGCCAGCCAGAATTCAAGGTTGAAGTGGAATATGGGAACTTCTCTACTAAGCCAACTGGGGGGTCAGATGTCCCTATCCCAGTGTCTTGGCTGCCTCCCCGACTGAGGATATTTCATCATATTCTCACTCATGTTCACTTCCCACAATCCTTCAATCAGGATCGAGTTCTCCGCATGGATCTGTGGATCATTGCCAGTGCAACTGCAAGACGCAAGCTGGATTACTCAAGCATAGTGTTTGGCCAACTCCTTCCTGTTGGAGATGAAAACTATAGAGGGATGGTGCCATTTGGGTCCCTAATCACTCGTTTACTGATCAACCTCGGGGTAGATCTTTCTGAGTTTCGTAGCATTTCCTCTACCATGTACATCAGTGCACTAAATGTACTGATGGTGCTGGATTTACCCACTGAAATTTATCCTCCTCCTCGTCCTTCTGCCTCTCTTCTCGGACCTCCTCCTAAGCCCTCTGCAGTCAAAAAGACAAAGTCAGTGGGAGAACCCAGCAAGACTGGAGATCTGGTCTTCACCATCTCTGAAGGAGATTCTTCCTCTGATGACTCTGCTACTACAACTCCTGCCTCCTCTCCTGCCTCTTAATCTCCTGTCTGTCATTCAGTTTTTATGTTATCCTGTTGGTAGGATATGTGCTTCTAGTTAGGGGGAATCTAGTTAGGATTCTATTTTGGGGATTCTGTTCAGAGGGAATTCTGCTCAGGACTCAGGGATCCTGTTATTTTGTATTGTTGTCCTTATCAGGACATGCCATCTGCTGTACCCCTTTTTCTTAATCAATGAACTGCATATTTCCCTCGAGACTCTTGTACTGCTGTGCCTTTTTGTTCTGTCTTGCAAGGACTTCTCGGACGAAGGGGGAAATTGTTGGCCCTGAAACGACGCGCTATCCATCAAAACGGAGCACTTCACAACGATGTCGTTTCACGAACCTCGCAACGATGTTGTTTTGCTACATCGTCCATCGAAGTCAAGAGATCACTTCAAGAGAGGACTCCTCGATTGATGATCTCCCTGTTTCCTTCTCTCAATCGTCCTCTCTCAGCAGAAGCTTCAGCTTTCTCGAGCCTGCTCCACCTAGCACCGTCTCTATGATGATGCATGATGAAGACTATGGAAGGCTCATGATTACACTATAAATTGTAAGCCTTCTGCTCAGTAGCAATTTGGCAGTCTGTAGTGAGAGCTTTTGGGTCTTAAAACTCTTTTACTTTGGGTCCATGAATGTATTTGCTTCAGTAGATTGAATCACAGTGTATGGGAGTGTACTGGTTGATTCGAATCTTGGGAAGTAGGAGTGTTGAGTGTTGTTTTTCTCAAAGGTTCAAGTCACTTCGCTTGGCTAGGGTTCACTGTGTAGTCTAAATTCTATTTGCAAATCAATAAAATTATTTCTCTTTTCTTTACAAGAAATCATCCAAGAAAGGATACACTCAAAATCTCCTGTTGAGTGCATCTCATATTTTGAGTTTTCACCAACTCCTTCCCCATTTCAATTCTTTTCCATCCCAGATCAATCCCTAAGAACAAGATCAACCAATCTTGTTTCTAACAATATGGTTGTTTTTCACTTGCTTCTAAATTCTACCTTAGCCCACAATATGCCTAACTTTAGAACATAACATTATTTGCGTGATTATGTCTACTAATTTTCCTTGTATGAAAGTTCCAGAAACTGTTATTCCTTCACAACCTTCATGTTTGACTTCTTCTCCTCAACCTCCACTTGACTTCACATTAGAAACTTAATGTCTATTGTGATTTAGATATTACTTCCTCTCCACTTCTACCTTTGTATATTGTGATAATATTTATGCCATTAAGTTAATTGATAATCCAATTAATTAAAAGCCTACTGCATATGTCGAAATTGCAAGTTGCACACTACAAGAAAACATGGCTATTGAAGCAAATAAGTAGAGGCAGTTACAGTAATAGTCTCGATAGCTAAACTTTGGCAACAAATAAATTATTTGTCTCTCTATGTCATATCATTTGTCTCTATTGCATAATCTTTATTTATAATTTATAGGAAATAAATTGAAAAAAATAGCTTTAGAGACAAATATAATATTTGCTACTATATAGTACGTTACTCGAACTATAAAGAATCTACTATAGATGCAAATCTAAGTGCTTGTAATGCTTTGCGAAAGAGAGGCAGAGGGCGGGATTGAAATATTCCAATTGAACAGTGAATCACAATGCGGAGAGCGGGACTTGAAAATTATAAACAAAGAGTGGGTAGACGGCCGGGCGGGATTGAAATATTTGAAGTGCCAAAGTTTTGCTTCTTCCAAAAGGTAAACTGTGAAGCCACGTTTATTTACCCTAATAGTAGTTTAAAAAATATAATAGTAATAAAGAGAGAGTCCCTTCATCTTCATACTCTCTTCACTACTTATCCTCTTCCCCGGCGGCCGGCTCCAACAATGGATCTCATGGAGATGCCAGCGGAGACTAGAAGAAGCTCAATGTCTAGTACTGGAGGTGGGAATTGAAGGCCGATGAACAACCAACGGATATGCATGCCGATGAGGTAGCAGAAGCATAACAATGGTGGTTGTGGCAGAGGCATCGTGATGAGCCGACCAGGATAAAGCGATGGAGTCTCGCAAGTCATAACACAATACTTCAGAGTGCAGATCGACAATGACCGCGGTACGTATTTGGGTAAAATCAAATCAGAATATTGAGCCTCCTCCTGTATTGGTGTTTAGGGTTTCTAATTCCGTCTTTTGGGCGTTTGCTTATTTCTAGCATCTTATGCAATTTTTAAGGCACGCAGACATTAGCATGCTTGGCTCTGGAGACTGGAATGCTGAAAATTGATGATTTGTCTTTGGATTTATATCAAAATTTCACTTAACAGTGTGAATGATTGATTGCTTAAAGGTGTTGAGTAGTGACAATTAATAATTTGGAGATCTCTTCCCATACGAGTAGGGTTTGTTCTTTCTTTCAAAAAGTATCCAATTAAATCATGATTGGTAAGTTCCCTTCTACAATGGAATATATAGCGTTTTGGGTTCATTTTCTTGCTTGGTAATTTATGGTCTCACGCTCGTGATTGTCCGTAGATATTAAAACTTGATTGAATATATTAATTTGGTTTCTTGATTTTAAGCTACTTGTTCTTTTTGTCCTTGCAGGTTTTGATTTTCGAGCTTTTCAAATCTGATCGAGATAATAGTGATGCTCAATGATGATTGGTGGTGACTATAGGTGTCAATCGGGCGGGTTCGGGCGGGTTCGGGTCGGGTTCAGTCGGGTCGCGGGTTAATCGGGTTGCGGGTCAAACGGGTTGCGGGTTAATCGGGTTGCTGGTCAAACGGGTTGCGGGTCAAACGGGTTGCGGGTCAATCGGGTTGCGGGTTGATCGGGTTCGGGTTGATCGGGTTGCGGATCAGTCGGGTTATGGGTTGATCGGGTTGCGGATCAATCGGGTTCAGGTTGATCGGATTGCAGGTTACAACAGGTCGGGTTGCGGGTAGTTCGGTCCACACCATCGAGTTTTTTTATAATTAGTTATTACACTATTTTTTTTTAGGGAGTTATTACACTAATTTAAAACAAACTCACCGATCACCATATTGCAATGAATAAAACATGAATGTACATTATTAAACAAATGAATGACTAGATTTTGCTTGAATATATCATAAACAAGTTTGATGTTGCTAGTTGTTGGTACCTTTTAGAGGATTCATTAAGGTTACAGAACCAACATAAATAAATAGTTGAACAACAAGAAATTAAAAAGCTGACAACTTGTTTGATCATAAACCTATGAAACCATCTCTTGAATCTTGATAGTTGAGAGTTGAGACTGTACATGGGCGCTGGGCCGTGCTTGGGCCGGCACGGCACGGGCCCATCTCGTGCCCATATTTTTCGTGCCGTGCTAGGCACAGCCCATTAAATTTCGTGTCGTGCCATACAACATAGAGGAACAACATAGATAAGTCTCTCCTCTTTTTCGTCTACCTCTTCCTTGTCATGTTCTTCAAACGACTTGTTTAATATGGTTGTTGTTGAGCTGACACCAGGTTTGGACTTAAAGAGTACTTAGAATTGAGTAAACTAGGACTTCGGTTTTGGTGGATAATCCGGTCCCTAGAATCCGAAATTGAAAATCAGGCTGAGAGTAAAACCTGAAGCCTTGATGGAAAGATGAAGTATAACAATAAACACTTCTCACGTCCCCCTGATACAGAATTCAAACACAAAATCCTACATTACTGAAAACTCCAAGTTCATCAACACAAGCCACGTTAACACAAACCAAACACCAATCCATAAACTCAAAATAAAAACTCTTCTGCTCTATACCTTGTAGCAGTTAGATGAGAACATCAGCAATGATACAACAATGCACACAAAAGAATCCTCATTATATCATCGTTGCTGGCGCCATAATCTGCAACATACAAGAAACAAACCCCTTATAAATCCCATCTCTAGAACCCATCCCAAAACCCCAACAAAAACAGAACCCCCAAATCCCAAATTTAATCTCCACAAACCTAGCGATCTCCTTTCTGCCCCTCATCTGAAAAAAGTGACGAATTTGAAGGGAAGGTCTGGGTCGTAGGATCCTTTCCTGGTAGCCTTGCTCGTTGCCGCTTGGGAACATCTAGCTTCGCCATTGTCCAGCTCCGCTGCGATTTACGCCATAAGTTGTGCCAAGAGTAGCCATTACCGAAAGTTTCTTACACCTCCGCCTTCGAATACAGATTTAGGTTCGTCGTAGACCTTTCCCTGGGTCTCGAATCGCGCCATACTCTGCCTCAATTTGTTCCGAGATAGCCCCATGGATAGCGCGATAAAGATTTCTCGCTCACAGAGGAAGGGGGTGATGGTGATTTTTCAACCATGGAGTCGAGGAAGAAGCTGATTGAAGATGAAGATAATATGGAATGGGAACATTGATTTTTAGTCAGAGGGGAGGGATTTGGGTGAAGTGGTGCAGATCTGGGGAAGAGGAAGAAGAGATTTAGGTCTTTGCCTATGTTGTTCGTTTAGAGAGAAGAAGAGAGAAGGGATTTATGTCTGTCTATCTTGTTCACTATGTCGACTTCAGCTTTTTCTTTTGTTTTATGATGGCAATCAGGTCGAGGAAAGAGGAACCAAAAACCGCGAAGGCGATAATTCGATAAATAAAACTAGGAAAAAGACGGTGGGCGGGATAATTTTCGTTGGCTACTTTTTTGGAGCCCAAATGAAAATTTTTTGTGGGAAGTTTTGGAGGAAATGAATTTTGGAGTCAAACCATATTCTCCCTCCTAAATTTTGGTAAAAATTTTCAAACTAAATTATGATATTGTTCATGGTAATTAACCGTGACTAACTATTTGTCACGGTAAATAAAAATTAAAAATTGTTAAATTAATTCTCGTGTTTAGATCTATACCATAAATTACAGGAACTTTTACCGTGACTATTAGTATACTTCTAAGTACGGGAAAAGTTCCCGTGAATAAGTTCCCGTGTCTAAAAATTTGTTTTCCTGTAGTGCATGAAGAAACCCTAACCCTATAACACCAATTTAAATCTCAAACCTAAAACTAACCTTAACCATCAACCATACATTATCCTAAATCACAACATTAAGTAATTAACCCTAAAACTAACCTCAACCCTTAACCATAATTCCATAACCCAAACATGCAAACAATGAACTCTAAACCATGACCCTATACGGCTATACCCTATACTATAGTTATATGCTATGAAATTGTTGGAATAAGCTACAACGTATGTTATGTGAAGAATGTAAGTTGAGTCAATTTTATATTCGGTTATTGAGAAGTACATATGTCCTATGACTCCAAACTCTAAACCACGAGTCCTCTACCGTATACCCTATGCACTAACCTTAAACCATGAACTATAGTTATGTATTATGAAATTGTTGGTTATTGAGAAGAACATATGTCCTACGACTCCAAACGTTTAATATCCGTATTTAATGAAATGAATTATTAACTTTACTATTTTTACATATTGATTTATTTATAAAAGTAATTAGTTTTATATATTCATAACTATTAACATACTATTAAACGTAACATTACCTAAGAGACGAAGTATAATACCCGTAAGTATTTTATACGTAACTTTCTCGTACCATATTTTACTAACTATGCTATACATTAAGTGAATTTTTTATGAATATTAAGTGAATTTTATGTATTATTAAATTTACTATTTTTACATATTGATTTATTTATAAAAGTAATTAGTTTTATATATTTATTACTATTAACGTACTATTAAACATAGCATTACCTAAGAGACGAAGTATAATACCCGTAAGTATTTTATACGTAAATTTTATGTATAAGTTGACATACAAAAACATTAAGTGAATTTTATGTATAAGTTGATATACAAAAACATGTTAAAAAAATATGTCTATATTGGGCTTTGAACCGTGTCCCTCGGATGGGAAAGACCAGCACATAAGCCAGCTAGTCCACGTAATTGATTTGTTACAATTTGAACTTGTTGTTTATTTGATTCAACTAAAAGGCAGAGAGACCCATAATTAGTAGCTTTTGTTATTTGCATCTATATTCTCTAAAAGGAATTAGAGACAGAGGCGTCCGATGCAAATAACCTATTTGTCTCTATAGATATATAGAAGCAAATAAATGTCATTTAGAAGCAAATAATCTCTCTAAAACCAAGTTTTCTTGTAGTGGCAACACCACGTAGCATAAAAGTAATACACGCTAATTTTTTCTTCGAATCAATTAACGAATATGTTCACAAAATCGTTCCAACGCTTGTAGTATTTTAGGGTCTCATGTCCAAGTTGGATGGTGTTGTAAGAAAATCCACCAAATTGCAATAGTATCCTTGTCTTACAACTAAATCCAAGGGATCGTTTGGAGAACAAGATTTAGATCATGGATTTATCGAATCCATAGATTTAGCAAAATGCTATGTTTTTTTGCTACATTTTGTGTCGTGGATTGTAGCTTTAGAGATTTTAAATCTCTAAAATCTAGAGATATCAAATCTCTCATAATTAGAGAGATTCTATATATTGATTTTGGAGATTTTCTTCCTCCTACTATATCTCTTGTTTTTTTTTCATTTATCCCACTAAATACCCTTACCAATAAATTCTCAATATTTTCGAGCCAATCTAATTATTTTGGTTAAGGATAAACATATTATTTGATAAAAAAAAAAATTCTTTTTTCATTGGATGTTAACAATCGTAATTACCAAACAATGAACATTTTTAAATCTTTTTTCAACAATCCAGAGAGTTAAAATCTTTGGATTGTCTAGAATATAGAGATTTAGACTCCAATTCTCCAAACGTGCCCCAAGTCTATGGATGAGGATAGACAAAGATCAAATATGTACTGTTACATGCATAAAGCAACAATCGTATAAGCAAACAATGGAACAGTAGTGATCATTATAATTATATAGCCATGTTATTATTTTACCCATTCATAATTCCACGTGATTTTTCCTATTAATAGATCAATGAACCGCTGATCAAATTGGTAATCCAAAACATAATATAACATACAACGAGTGGAGCAACAATGGGCAATGTGAAAGCATAAAATTGGTCGAAATTCCTCTTCAAGAACAATGGGTGTTTCACTAAAATCATCCCCTTACTATTGTCCCCATCCTCCAATGACACCATTTCACAATCCTCGTCATTTTCTAATAATAAATTTGTCATTCTCATAGCATTTTCCTCCACCGCTACCAGTCGGAAGCTATTCTTGTCACTCGCCTCACGATCTCGCCACATATGACCAAACTTGCAATCTACCCCTTGACATATTAATCGGGGCATATAATTTTGATAAAAAACTTGACAGGAATGGACAAAAGCGACTATTTTGTAAGTTATTCAGAATTAATTGTAGCGCCCAATTTGTAAGTGATGCCAAAGTTTAGTGACTGCTTTATGGTAATTAAACCCCATATATTAGTGAGAGAGTTGTAAAACTCTTACCTGCAACCAAGCCACGAAAGAAGGGGAAACATCTGAGCTTCTCATATCAGCAAACCATGCTGGTGATGAAAGATCTTCAATTGTGTGTTACTGAAGCTCTTCGAACTACGGTATTTGGTATCGAAGGATTTGCTAAATTTTCGACTTTTAGAAGTTAAAACAGTGTGCCTCCATCGTCATCAACATTAATTTTATTCGGCCAAAAAAAGTAATAATAATAATGACAGGCAATGCACCTTCCTTACTCTACGTTTGGAACAAAAAGGCAATCCAAACCATAAAACTCAAGACTAGTATGAAAAAAAGAGCATACAATATGTACCAATAATATATGTCGAAAGTCCTCTTCAATGGCAATGGGTCTTTCACTAAAATCACTCCTGTTATATTGTTTTCCTCCAAGTCATTATCATTGTTATTCTCCAATAATAGATCGGTCGATGTCATAAGATTTTCCTCCGATGTTACTAGCCGGAAGCTACCCTCACGATCTCGCTCCCAACGAGTGACAAGCCTAAACCCTATCACTTCTTCTACCTCATGGTATTGATAATTTGCAGCTCTTGTTATTTTGGCCACCACCATCGCCACTACAGTCAAACTGTCCCATCGTTGGAGTTGTTCGGAAAGCAGAGGCTTAGTCGCAGCCAACAACATCCTAGTGTCATTCTCGTCGATGCTAAAAATCAACATATCTCCCATTTCAAATAAACAAAAGAATCTACCATCTTTGTATCCCACGCCGAGGCATGTTTGTAACTTTTTCACACCCAAGGAGAAATCATATGTTTTTTTCTCAAATTCAATATTTTTTCCACGACGAAACATGCTGAAATAGCGATCGTCATACACCACGAGCATTGACGAGTCCCGAGCAGTGGGTAGTGCTGAGAAAGCACATTTGAGTATTGTGTCCGGTTTGTAATGGTCGTCGTTGGTGAAAAAACGCCAACTCGGGTTGGGAAGACTGATGTAGTTTGCAGGACACCGGAGTAGAGGATTGTACCAGCCCAAAAAAGCATCACGCACTTTTATAAGCAACCACACACCCGCCGTCCCAAGGATCCTTATGTCTACATCTGCAAGCCAATATGGGATTTGAGATTCACGACATCGTTGGAGGACAAGTCGATTACCCTCCCACACTTGCATGACGTCCGAGCTGTACAAATTTCTTTTCTTGATCAACACAGGTCAGCGATTGAAAAGGACGATATGAGAGTGGACTTTGTGCCAATTCTTGCATACGTCGCCGAAGTGAGTACCGTCGACATGCGACGAGAGTCTGTTGTAGATGGAATCCAAGAGATCTGGACATATATCAGCCCATGGCCTTTGATCCTCTTCCTTGTTCATAATTCTATGAACTTTTTTTGGATCCTTTTCGTTCTCAATTATTATCAAAAATTTTGTGGTTTATGATGGCCTTTTTATTTCTCAACGAGATTCGAGTTTGCATTTCGTTTTAAAAGTTTGTATGTTATTGTATGGTGGAGTTATATTCAAGGAGACTTGTTAGGTCTACAATTATGCCCACAGAATGGGAAACTGTAATGTAATTGTTGGACTATTGGTTATAATGTGAGGAGAGGGAAGTGGCTTATTAAAAGGCCGATGAAGTGGTCAATACTATAAATTTGTTCTTTTCTCAATTATGGTTTCACGTTACTTTTTGACTATTCGCAATTCCGTGTGATTCTTTGGTCGTATGTAGTTCAATTTATTGATTCGTTAGTTACTTGGATAATTGTTTTTTTTTTTCAAGGCAAGCTCAAAAGGTATGGGACAAAGACTCGACACAATTACAGTCCGACTCAAACACTGTGCGTTAGTCTGTATGCAACCAGCAACGATGAAAGATCCTGATAAGCCAATACATGGGCAGCTCTGAAGAAGCTCCGAGGAGCAAAGACACGACACTGACGGAAAAAAAGGAAAAATAAAAATACAACATCTCCAAGATAGTCCCGCCAGTGAGTGTAGTTTCTTTCGACGGAGTATGCCGGATGACCAGTATCGAGTTGCCACAAAAAACCACAACAAATAAAAGAAAACGGCATTAGCAATATTCGATAGAGCATTCTTAATTACTCTCATAAATTTATAAAAGCGAATAAAATTGAACTATCACCTGATATATCGACTCTTCCTTCAATTATTTTCATATCAAATGAGCACCTGCAAAATGACCAACCAAAAAATGCACGACTATGGTGCTAGAAATTTCTATCATAAGAGATTAAATCTTGCCCTTGATGCATAATTGTAAAACAGAATAGAAATCGAAGTAAGACGAGACACCAGATATACGTGGTTTCCCCGTTCAATGTGAACGAGACTACTCCACGGAGAACGTGAGTTCTCAGGATTGTTTACTATGACGAGCACAAGGTTGCTCGGTTACATCATACAATGCTGCAGCCTATAAGAGGCTATATATATGTCTCACGAAGCTAGGGTTACTGCTACTAAATCACTATTAGTCCTCCAACTCTAAATAAAGTACATGTAAGTCCAAACACGTTTCAACACTCCCCCTCAAGCTGGAGCGTGAAGGTCTCGAACGCCCAGCTTGGATAACAACGTGTGAAACTGTTCTGTTCACAAAGCTTTCGTGAAGATGTCGGCAAGCTGTGATGTTGTCCCAATCTTCAACGTTCTGATCTCCTGGGACATAACTCGTTCGCGAACGAAATAGCAATCCATCTCAACATGCTTCGTCCGTTCATGGAAAACAGGAGTAGCCGCTATATGCAATGCCGCTTGATTGTCACAATAAAGAGTTGTAGGCTTCTGTTGACGCACACCCAATTCTTCCAGTAGAAATCACAGCCACAATACATCACTAACGGTGCTCGCCATTGCTCTATATTCTGCCTCAGCCGAGGATCTGGAAACCATCTTTTGCTTCTTTGTACTCCAAGACACCGGTGGTCCTCCTAGCTGGATGTAGTACCCAGTAGTTGATCGTCTGGTCGCCTGGCAACCTGCCCAATCCGTGTCACAATACACGGTCAGCTCCAAATCTCCTTTTTCCAGGAAAAATAATCCTTGTCCCGGTGAGTTCTTCAAATACCGTAGTACTCGAACTGCTGCTGCTACATGGTCTGGTCCTGGACGATGAACAAACTGTGACAAAATGTTAACAGCGTAAGAAATATCAGGTCGATTTACCGTGAGGTATAGTAGACGACCAACCAAACGTCTATATCCTTTGACGTCCGCCAATATGTCATCACTTGGACGAGTAAGGTTATGGTTCTGCTCCATAGGGAACCCGCTAGGTCGCGCTCCAGTCACCCCTGCATCACTAAGAATGTCAAGAGTATACTTCCTCTGGTTGAGAACTAACCCGTCTGCCAGCCTAGCTACTTCAATCCCTAAGAAATATTTTAGTGAACCCAAATCTTTGATACTGAAACGCTCATCGAGGAACTTCTTAACATGGTTTATAAAAACCGTATCATTTCCTGTGAGGATAACATCATCTACGTATATAAGTGCTTCCATAAAGGCATCTCCGCGGCGATATATCAACAAGGAATGATCGGCCCGGGAAGGTTTGAAGCCTAGTTCCGAAAGTGAAGCCGTGAACTTGTGGTACCAGTTCCGTGAAGCTTGTTTCAAACCATAGATTGACTTCCTTAATCTGCAGACACGGTTATCTCCCGGAGAACCGAACCCCTGTGGTATCTGCATGTATACCTCCTCTTCTAAATCGCCATAGAGAAAGGCGTTGTTTACATCCAACTGGTGAAGATCCCATCCACGTTTTACTGCTACTGACAGCAACACCCGAACAGTAACTATTTTGGCTACTGGTGCATACGTGTCATGAAAATCGACTCCTTCCAATTGTGTAAACCCTTTTGCCACTAAACGTGCTTTGTACCTCTCAACTGAGCCGTCTGCCCTGTATTTAATTTTGTAAACCCACTTTGCACCGATTGCTTTCAGACCAGATGTCAAGGATTCCAAAGTCCATGTTCCGTTGGCCACTAAGGCCGCTATCTCTTTTTGCATAGCTTCACGCCAACAAGCATGTTTAACGGCCTCAGCAAAACTCTTTGGTTCTGTCTCTTTGGTGATTGCAGCGAAGTAAGCCCGATGCGAAGGTGAGAATTGATCATAGTTGACGTGGTTCGACATAGGATATGTCGTTATCGTCTCGTCACGTGGCTGGCCATGTAACTCCACATCATAAGCTTCCATCAAGCCAGGTGGCGGTCGTCTGATTCTATCACTGCGCCGCAAAACCTGAACTTCGAGTTGAGCATTGGCGGTGGTGACACCACCAGCTTGCGTCTCATCAAGAGTGGGCTCTTGTCCTCCACTATCATCACCATCGTGAGGGAATAATACTTCCCCATGCACGCCATGCAACTCAGGTTCCTCTTCGCCCATATCACTTGCAACAAAATCCACTTCATCATCTTCATCATGATCCGCCTGAATTGGCCTCTTCTCCACTAGTTCCTCATCGTCCTTAAATGTTGGTAGTAAATCTCTTGAAATAGAATCTTTCATCGAGGATACTTGCGGTGATGTTTTCTCTCTAAACGGGAAAACTGTCTCGACAAAATGTACGTCCCGGGAAGAGTAAATTCTCCTTGACTGAAGATCGTAAACACGATAACCCTTTTGAGTAGTCGGATAACCGACAAACACACAAGGTCTCCCCCTCTCGACAAACTTGTCGAGACCAGCTCGGGTATCTTTGGCATAAACCAAACAGCCAAAACTGCGCAGATGAACATAAGAAGGTGGACGGCCAAGTAGGCGTTCATAAGGTGTTTTTATCCTGGAGAAGCCGAGACGGAAGGCGATTAATCAAATAACTAGCTGTCACAACACACTCCCCCCAAAACCGTATTGGTAAACCAGAGTGAAAACGAAGAGCACGGGCCATTTCAAGCAAATGGCGGTGCTTGCGTTCGACAACCCCGTTCTGCTGGGGAGTGTGTACACACGAAGTCTGCAATATGATCCCATTAGCGTCAAAATAATCCCTCAGAATCCCGGTTTGAAACTCCAAACCATTATCTGCCTGTAATCTGCGAACTGAACGATTAAATTGAGTCCGAACCATCTGACAAAACTGAAGTAGATGGCGCTCGACATATGATTTAAACTTGAGCATGTAGACCCAAGTAGCTCGACTGTAATCATCCAAAACAGTTAAAAAATAATGAGAACCATCCATAGAAGGAGTGTGACTCGCTATGACAAAACTCCTAACAAAGGCCAAGTGTAACCAATGAAAGGGACTGCAGTATAGTGGCTCAAGTGATAAAAAAATCGAATCCACGGGTCTCTAGAGTTACTATTACTTAGCTTCTGTTTATTATTTAGCAAACCAGATTAAGATGAAAGAACTAAAACTACTCTAGCAAACTACAGTTAAAGTTAATCTAATTACAGGTTGGGAACTCACTTAGGTATGATTCCCCCCTAGCCACTAGCCAGACTAACGATTGATGATTTCTAACCTGTTTCACTTTCATTCACAATGCGGAGAATCCTTGACTAGACCTTGAGTCTCGACTAAAGGAACAAGGCCCTCTTGAGTCAATTGCCTAGAGGGACGTATCCTTCTCTAGAACAACTGATCAAGGCGTTCTGAACTAGATCCCCTCTATCGAACGAGGTTCTCAATCGATACAAAGCAGTGAATCAACCATCGACTAAAGCAATTGATTCACTACTATCAATCTATGGTGCTCTATTGACCTAATCAGGTATTTGCTCTCATAGGATCAAAGCAGAATCAATAATCTCGACTATAGCAGAATTGAATCATGAAAACATGCATAGATTGAATATGAACTCAAGATTATCAAGTCAGAGTACTCATACAATCATCCAATCAAACAAACATAGCTAGGGTTCCTCAAAACCTAAGTGAAGGGAAGTTACTCCATAGAGAAGAGAGAGACTGCAGTAAGAATCTTCAGATTATCAGTCTTCAAGTCTGGGCTTGTTCCTCGAGCTTCCAAGGAGAATAAATCCTCCAATTCCACTCCAAGAATGCCCTCAAATCGCCCTCTCTCTTTGGTTCGTCCCTTGGGTGTTTGGGATCCAAAACCCAGCTCCCCCTTTCCTTTGGCTTCAATCTGCCTAAAAAACCCAATTCTGGGCAAAACACGGTCGAGGACACGGCCATGTTTTGCTTTTGACCGCCCGTGTTTTGCCCCCAGCAGCCCTCGTCGGCAAAAACACGGTCGTGCCTAAATATGGACACGGCCGTGTTTTGATTTAGGCGCGCCCGTGTTTTTACTGCCGAACCTGTTCCCCTATATTCAATGCTTCGTTTCTCCCTCGTCCGGACTCCGAATCAGTCGCCGTTTGATCCCAGACACTCGTAGTCTCGTCCTCTTTCTTTTCATGACAAGCTTGCATGATTATTTTTCCATAAAGTGAGGTAGAAATCCATTCTTCTTCAGGTCATGCCCGAGTTTCTTCTCCCTAATCGCCAATTGATCTCTGATTGACTTGAAACTTGCGCCTATGCTTCACTTTATGTGCTAGGACCTGAAATGTTATAAAGGAACACAACCTAGCGTAAAATAGGCCAAAGACGCGATAATTAAAGCTCAAACGATCAAGAAACAAAGGGGAAAACATGTACAATTATCGAGTCATCAAATCCCCCCAAACTTAACCGTTTGCTTGTCCCCAAGAAAACCTAACTCAAACCAATGCAGCTCTCCAGACCTCTGAGCAACATACAACCCCGATCTTCGGTAGAGGATTTCCTAGATCATATAGCAGCTTACGAGGTCAATTGGTCTTCTAAGACGTTCTCTATCTCTCTCAATGCGAGTACTAGACTCAAGCCATGATCATGAGAAGAAGTAGAAGTAAAACAGTCAGTTCATGGATAAAGGGACTCACACCATTCACAACCAAGGAGTCGTTGTACCAGGGTGCTCTTTCACTTCATTTCACCTTTGGAACCCCCTTTTCACTTTCATTTTACTTTTTTTTCTTTTTCGTTCACTTGGCGGGGGTTCCAACTGCAGTCTCTTACACGGTCGACCCTTATTAGTCGAGCAAGAGCAATTTCTGTACATCTGGCGCTCTCCAGAGTACTTCTTTTAACTCCTTTTCCTCAACTCGTGTGGAGGGTCAATGAAATTAAGGGGGGTCGGAAGCTCTATCCGTGCCCTTAAAAACACATCCTCAAGTAGGCAAACCGTTCAACGGGTGGAAGTTTTACTTGTACTAGAGACAACTTAGCTTCACCTTGTAGGAGTACCCCACTAAGGATCACTAAAATCTCTTCCAAAACCCGATTTTGTGCAATGAACAGTGCCGCACACTTTGGGCTTACCCCATGTTTAAGATTTAATGATTTTGACATGGAGGACCAACTGCATTTCATTTTTCACACGAGCACCCTGTTCGATACACGAGTCCATAACACAATCCAAATAGAGTCACCATTACCACATGAATTCAATGCTCTTAGCTCCACTAATTCACAAAATCAACTGGTACAGCAGAGAGCTAGATAGGAAAAATCTTATACTTCAACATCCTCCATAGTGCTACACTACCTCCCTAGGTTGCACATTACTATAGAGACTGTCAATTCAAAGCATACTGAGCAGGCAATTTGCAAGGAAACACGTACTTGGAGCCCTCAAATTTAAAAATTTGGACAGTGGACTAGGCTCCAAGCACACAAACAGCCAAACATTCACCCGCATACATAATCGAACATCCCCCCACACTTAAGCACGACATTGTCCTCAATGGAGGAAAGATAAGGAGGGTAGAACGAAGTTACCAGATCAAGGGTGAATGATGGTGGACGAGGCAGGTGGTGCATTCCAGGAGGAGAGAGTAGTCGGAACACAAACACCACACAAAATCTCACAAAGGTTGAGTTATTGACTCTAAATTCAAATAACAAAACTGACTCAACCGAGGAGAAAAAGAGAAAGAAATGCAAACCGAATGGTTGGGTTGCCTCCCAACAAGCGCTTCTTTCACGTCGTGAGCTGGACGATGGCTCCTAAGTTTCGGTCCACCCCAAAACCTCCTTGAAGTTGAGGTTCTCGTTGATGAGGTGGAGTCTCAAGTCACGAGCATGTGGTATGACAGGTGATGGAAGCTCATGCACTTGATGCAGATGAAGTCTCCACCCTCGAGACCTCTTCTTCTCTTCTCTCGTCTCATTGCCCCAAACTAGATATGACAGCATCGATTGGCCACCATCGCGTCCACCAAGAGGGACCGATGTCGATGTGGCCTTGGTCTGGCAAAGAGACACTACAAATGGGTCCTTGCCAAGCAGCTCCTCGAAATTCGGTGGAGATATCACAAGTAACTCATAGTCGGTGCAGGCCTCTTCCACCTTAACTTCGTCCTCAGCCTGGACCCCAATTGCTTCTTCAACCTCCCTTTCTTCTTCATGTGGTATCACCCCTGGGAAATGATCAAGAACTCCTTCTGCTTCACTTTCGTCATCCTCCACAACTTCTTTCTGCACCCTTTCTTGCTCTTCTTCTTCTAGCACGGATTGGAGAGCAAGCTGCCAAGCAATTTCTTTCATGAGATTTTCTTGCATCTCCTCACTCATGCCCGCCTCTTTAAAGCTCAGTTGGGATGTGGGAAGGTGTGGTCGGCTATGACAGGACATTCCTGATCATGATCATCACGGGAGCTCTCCGTGACAACTTTATTGTGCTCCACAATGTCCTTGTAGCCTTCTTCTTCCTCCTCTTCTAGTATGGTAGCAGAAGGGTGATCGGGAGCAGGTTGTGCACAAGATCGCTCAAGATCATCGACGCTCTTCTTAAGGCTCAGGAGGATCTCCTCTGTTTCACGATAGGCCTGGACACAATGATCCATCCTGGAGCATGTTCTCTCACTGTCTCGAGCAAACTGTTCCATGAGAAGCCTCAATTCATAGTTTGGATCTGGCTGTAGAGTGTAGCATGGCTCTGCAGAATGGCCCATGAAGGCCGCCATGGGTAACTCCAGCGTCGCTGGCCCTTCTGGTTGTGGGAGAAATTCTTCGTGTTAATGAGGTTGTTCTTGATATGCCCAGGGGTCCGGTTGTTCTCCGTAGTAAGGGGGATGGTACTGGAACCCAAATCCATAGTCTTCTCCTCCTTGATTGCTCCAGGGAGTCTCGGGGTAATACCACTCGGGTTGTGGTGGATACCCTCAATTGTTGGAGAAGCCATGAGGATCCATGATTCAGATCTGCATCAACAAAAACAAAAACACCCAAGGGAAAAGCAAGGGTGGAAAAGAAAAGAAAAGAAAAACGCTAAAGTAACAAACTTCTGCCTTTCCTAATACTCTAGAAAGTCCCCGGCAACGGCGCCAAAAACTTGACTCGCTATGACAAAACTCCTAACAAAGGCCAAGTGTAACCAATGAAAGAGACTGCAGTATAGTGGCTCAAGTGATAAATATCGAATCCACGGGTCTCTAAAGTTACTATTACTCAGCTTGAGTTTATTATTTAGCAAACCAGATTAAGATGAAAAAAGTAAAACTACTCTAGCAAACTACAATTAAAGTTAATCTAATTACAGGTTGGGAACTCACTTAGGTATGATTCCCCCCTAGCCACTAGCCAGACTAACGATTGATGATTTCTAACCTGTTTCACTTTCATTCACAATGCGGAGAATCCTTGACTAGACCTTGAGTCTCGACTAAAGGAACAAGGCCCTCTTGAGTCAATTGCCTAGAGGGACGTATCCTTCTCTAGAACAACCGATCAAGGCGTTCTGAACTAGATCCCCTCTATCAAACGAGGTTCTCAATCGATACAAAGCAGTGAATCAACCCTCGACTAAAGCAATCGATCCACTACTATCAATCTATGGTGCTCTATTGACCTAATCAGGTATTCTCTCGCATAGGATCAAAGCAGAATCAATAATCTCGACTAAAGCAGAATTGAATCATGAAAACATGCATAGATTGAATATGAACTCAAGATTATCAAGTCATAGTACTCAAACAATCATCCAATCAAACATAGCTAGGGTTCCTCAAAACCTAAGTGAAGGGAAGTTACTCCATAGAGAAGAGAGAGACTGCAATTAGAATCTTCAAATGATCTGTCTTCAAGTCCGGGCTTGTTCCTCGAGCTTCCAAGGAGAAGAAATCCTCCAATTCCACTCCAAGAATGCCCTCAAATTGCCCTCTCTCTCTTTGGTTTGTCCCTTGGGTGTTTGGGATCCAAAACCCAGCTCCCCCTTTCCTTTGGCTTCAATCTGCCTAAAAAACCCGATTCTGGGCAAAACACAGTCGAGGACACGGCCGTGTTTTGCTTTTGAATGCCCGTGTTTTGCCCCCAGCAGCCCTCTTTGTCCAAAACATGGTCGTGCCTAAATATGGACACGGCCGTGTTTTGATTTAGGCGCGCCCGTGTTTTTACTGCTGAACCTGTTCCCCTATATTCAATGCTTCGTTTCTCCCTCGTCCGGACTCCGAATCAGTCGCCGTTTGATCCCAGATGCTCGTAGTCTCGTCCTTATTCTTTTCATGACAAGCTTGCATGATTCTTTGTCCATAAAGTGAGGTATAAATCCATTCTTCTTCAGGTCATGCCCGAGTTTCTTCTCCCTAATCGCCAATTGATCTCTGATTTACTTGAAACTTGCGCCTATGCTTCACTTTATGTGCTAGGACCTGAAATAAGACAAAGGAACACAACCTAGCATAAAATAGGCCAAAGACACGATAATTAAAGCTCAAACGATCAAGAAACAAAGGGGGAAACATGTGCAAATATCGAGTCATCAGAGTGCGATAACCACCCCAAATATCCAAGTGAACAAGCTCAAAACAGCTACTGGTCTTGATAGACTAAGAAACAAAAGGCGTTCTAGTCATTTTTGCACGTAGGCAAGCATCACAATGACTGAGATCCATACTGGAATCCAAAAATGATAAAACATGTTTCAAAGAAGATAACTTCGAGAGGGAGGGGTGACCCAATTGAGAATGCCACGTCTCCGTGGAGGTTCTTCTAGAGACAGCAAAAACTGAAGGGTTGCCATGACCGTGATGTCCCAAGTCCTCACCCCGCTCAAGATAGTAGAGCCCATCACGAAGATGTCCCAGTCCAATCATGGTCCTGGAGTGTAAGTCCTGTAGGACGCAGATATCAGCTAAGAAAAGGACCCCATATTGTGATCTTTGGCAAACCGACTGACAGAAAGTAAGTTGCATTTAAACGTTGGTACATGGAGAACTCTGTTAAGTGTGATGTGGGCATTCAAAACCAAAGAACCAACCCCCTGAACTGGGATACTAGCACCAACCGGTATACGAACAGGGGAATGGGGACCCACAAAATCTACAGAACTCAACCAACGTGAATCACGAACTATATGTTCGTTGCAGCCTGAATCAATAATCCATTCAGAAAGATCAGGGGTGTTACCGGCCATATGAGCAGTGGACTCGCTAGAAGTAGGAGCTGGTGTTGAGAAAAACTCCTTCAGGGATGCAAATTGAGCGGCACTAAG